CCCGGCTCAGGTGCGCGGGGAGGGGGATGCGTGGGGCGCGCGGTCACCGGGGGCCCTGCTGTTCCCCGGCCCGCCCGGACCAGCCCGAGCCCGCGTCTCCCGCCTGAGTGGCCGTGGCGTTTTTCCAGTCCGTCCCACAAGAGGTTAATCATTGCTGGCGTTGGAGCGTCTTTGTGGCTTCCCCAGGACTTAGGATCCAGGGCTTTGCAAACTTGCCCTTTCCCGAGCAGCTTTGCAGGAGGCTTCGAGGACCGAGAAGCTCGGAAAGTTGGAAAGCAGGAGCATCACAGACAGGAACGTCCCTTTGGCCTCCTGGCTGTGCCGAGCTCGGGAGGCGGTGGAGGAAGATGAGGAGGGCTTATCAAACAGGGTGGGTGGGGGAGACCTGTCTCGGTAGCCAAGTCGTGATTTGCCCAGGCTTCCACCTGACTGATTGGCTTCAAAGCCAGTGGGTTCCAGTGTTCCGCGATGGCCTTTTGTTGGGGGCGGGGAGGAGGAGGAGGGAGCACCCCTCCCTGTTCAGAGTCACTGCTCAGCTGGAGCCCCAGGCATCACTGTCCTTTAGAGCCCCCCCCCCCCCCCCAGTTCTCCATTTGCTGCTCTCTGAAGATCTCTTTCTGGAAGGGAGCAGCTCCTTAGATCTGAGGCCAGCCCTGTATTGAAGCAGGACTTGGGAGACAAGAATGCTTCCATGTGACCCCTAAGCGGCTTGGACTTCCCACCACAAGCCTCTTAAAACACCCTCTCTAGTGCTGGCTTTCTCTAGAGTAGAGCAGAAATTAACGCCACGGAAGTGAAGAGGGTGAGAGTCTGAGCGCTCCGAGACTTAAGTCAAAAGGTGATTTTCTGTTTATAAGGGCCTCGAGTCTAAGCAGTTCAGGCCCAGGGCAGTAATGTCAAAAAGCATTTGGATGACGGCCAAGTAGAATAAATATCGTGTTAAATGGCCTGTTTGATAGTAAAAATAGACTAATGGAGCCGTCAAGTGGTTCCGTGGGACCAACATAAAGGTTTAAGTTTAAAGTGAAAGTTACATAAAGCTGTTTGTTTACACGTGTTCTTTTAAGGCCAGGGGAAATCTAAGAATAAGATTAAAATGTGTCCCTGACAGTAATCAGGCCTGCGGTGTGTGGAAATATTGTTACTGTGTAAATATTCAACTCCATCACTGTTCTGTGAATTTGTACCTCGCTTTCTGGAAGGGTTTTGATGTAAGCTAAGGATCCACCTGCAGATAATGGCACTTAAGGGGAAAATTCAGAAGGCCAAAGTTTTAGGGTAAACCAGTGACTTATCATTTACAGAGGTGGGGGAGGGAATCACATACACTGACAGCATTGGATTCCCAAGTTGAAAACAGACGATCTTGACTTTGCCCGATGGTGACGGCATCCCAGTCCATCAGGCCTTGGTGGTTACTGGGACACTGTGCCTTTAACAACAATGAAAAAAAATGTTGATGTTTTCTTGTAAGTGTTGCAAGTACTTGCTGTGACAGTATCTAGGCCTGCTGAATGGTCATGCTTTATCATGTAATCCTTGCCATTAACCCCCACGCCAACAGTTACTATTGTCTTCAGATACTGGTTGAGGAAAGGAGAGCTCACAGAGGTGGAGAATGCTTAGCCAGCCTACAGGGTGCAATGCAGAGTCTGTATTGGAGACCTGGCTGATTTCACAGCATTCATCTCTGATGCACGAGGTTATCATGAGGACAAATCAAAGGGTCAAGGGCAGGCAAGACTGAGCAAGAACTACTTACTGCCCCGGGTCTCCCTCCACTCGGGGACTCATCTGGATTTCATTTGTTTCTTCATTTATTTGGCGACTGAGTGTTGATGTATTTATTCGTTCAACAACTATCGAGTTCCCGGCTACTAGTAAGAGCCCACAGTCGTTAAACATTTGTATATGCCAGGCACTCTCCTAAGTGCTTAGGATGAGACTATTTTGTCTTCGTGACAGCCAGGAGATACAGAGGCTCCCATTCTCTATAGATGAAGAAGTGCAGGCCTAGAGAGGTCAGCTCGCTTGTTGACCAACTCCTAGACCAAACAGTTCGTGAGGCGAGAGTGTCAGCACCCACTCTGTGGGTATTCATTCCCACTCCTCCAGTACAGTGCACCAGACATTGTGCCCATGCTGGGGGCCAGAGCCCCTGGGCTCAGCACAAAGCTTTGCTCCACGCTAATGGAGATGCTGGTGGGATAAAGACCCCCTGCCCTCCAGGAGTTTGAACAGACAGTAGGAATGCTCATTAGGCCCAATCAAGCAGAATTAAGTAAGTGCTATAATTGAGGAAAGCAACTATTGTGGACGCACAAGGAGGGTGTGATTGTGCGGCTCTGAGGGGCTGGTGGGGAATCTCCTGGAAGGGGGTGGCTTCTAAAGTGACCCGTGAATGAGGAGAAACAAAGCCTGGGTGAGGATGCGTAGGATAGCATTGATGCAGCTGCTGGCAACAGAAACTCTGAAGGCCATGGGATTTATCCAGCTGGGGCATTTTTGTGGGGATGGGATGGTGCCTCAGCTGTATCGTTGGGACCCCGAACCGTGTCTTTTCATTTTGCCATCCTTAGCATGTGGGTCTTAGGCCTGAGGTTTAAGGAGACTCTTTCATCTCCAGGCCCCAATCAGAGCTTGGCTATGTGGTGACCCAAACGTGCCAGAGAGAGACGATCAAGTATTTTTCGTCAGGCACATTACTGCCATGAACATGATGGAGTTCTGCTTGTAAGGGGGTAGATGGCAATAGCTGTTGAATGAGCAGGTAGAGCGATTTCTCAGGAAGTGGAAGAAAGGGATTTGGGTGGTCCTGGAAGCTGTCTGCAGCCTAGGAAGCAGAGAAAGGGGTACTGGGAAAGTCATACAGGAAATGATGTCAGATTTCACTCACTGGGCAGGTGGTTGACCTTTACTCTGTAGGCGCCATGGCTGCCTTCTGAGTAGGGACCGTCGTGTTCTTAAGGAAAGTTAGACAAAGGCTATCAGTGTGCCTGGTACAGACAACCTTGCTTGGTCTCACTTCACATCGCATGAGATCAAGGACATTTTCAGACAGGGGCCAGTGTTGTCTCAGGGAAAAAAAAAAGATGACAGAATACACTGAAGAGGTAAGGGGGAAGGAGAGATAGTCTTTAGATCCTGACAATAAAAATCTAATAATAATAAAAGCCCCTGGACTGAAGAGAAAGACAGAAGAGTTCATGGAACTCCCTGGCCAAACAGTCCAGCTCAATCAGTGAGTCTGGCTTCCGTGAGAGATTGTGTCTCAAAAAATAAATTGAAGAGCGACTGAGGTAGATGCCCAACATTGCCCTCCGGCCTACACACACACACACACACACACACACACACACACACACACTGCACAAACCAGTCACCTGAAGTTCTTTTGAGGTGGTTCCGCTGTCCCGGGAGGTGAGCAGCCCTCTTTCCCAGTGGTTCAGGTCACGGAGCAGAAGCAGCTGGACCTCTTTCCCAGCTACTTCTTCCTGGCCTCTGGGATTCCTGGGTCCTAGCCATAGCTCTGCCTCTCACCGGCAGAATCGCCTTGGCCTTGGCCCTCCCCCCTGCATTGCTTTAAATCAAGAAGGTAACAGGAGTGGGCCTCAGAGCTCTCTCAGCTCCCACGTGCAGGACTCCCCCAGCAAGAGCCAAGCTCTCTGATTCCTCTTGTCCAAACTCTATTAGCCTTATGCCTTTGGGGAGTTACTTGAGTCTCTGAACCTTGGTGTCTGCTTTAAAGCAGAACCATTCATAGCTGCCATATGAATTATTATGGAGCTTTAAAGGTTTATAAAAGAAAATATATTATATATAATGTATATAATAATAATAATATGTAATGCCCATAATATATAATGTATATTATATAATGTGTATAATAGCACTACCCCTGACACATACTGTACTCATCCATCATCACCATCATCCTGGTCACTGCAACTACCTCTAGGAAATGACTTCCTTGTGTCCTCGTAATTAACACACTCAGTGTTAATTATCCACCAGGGACCCTGCCTGTCCCCATCTCATTGTGCTCTCCTCTTACCTGAACATTGGCACTTATTCTGTGGCCAATCTGAGTGGCCATAGCCGTGAAAATCCTGATGCGTCTGGTGCCAGTCATGGGCACATCCTCCGTGGAATCAAGGTCCACACCCACACAGAGCAATGCTGAGGGCCACACTGCTGTTCACATGTCCTGTAGGTCGACACTTAGATGGATGTTGTGTGTGACATTGGTAA